AAAAAAAAAAAAAAAAAAAAAAAAAAAAAAAAAAAAAAAAAAAAAAAAAAAAAAAACCATAGTACCTGCCATTGAAAACGCTTTCCATTCATGTCAATCTCAAAATCTATTCATAAAAAACAAACACCATTTGAGGAAAGAGGAAAAATTATAAAAAAATCGAAACAAATAGTGATTAATTGATTACCTGAAGGATAAAATTCAAGGATTGGCGATGAATGATCTGTCATCAAGTTTCTGTATTTCTCAGGAAGAGCGGTTGAACTGTATGCATATAAGCAATAGGCATGATGCATAAAAATGAAGACGGTTGATAAGCTAAACAAGACAATATAAGAGGATATGCTGAAAAGAAAATAGACAATCTTTTGAGACAAAATCATACAAGGATCAGTCTGCCTTTAGCTTGGTTTTTGGCTTCCAATAAATAAGTCTACTCAAATGAGGAAAGTATTCTGCTGACTCATTTCTTGATTAGCGCCAACAGGAAAAAAAAAAAAAGATTCCAACGTCATTCTTTTGCTGGTTTAGCCTTTAAACTTTTTATGGTTTCAATGGAAAGTGCTTTTCACTTCTTGTAAGCAAAATTCAGATATAATTTAATCTTTGTTAAGCAATATATAACTTTAAATAGACTAGCAAGATAAAATACAAATAATTAAAAGGAAAAAACCTTGCAGCTGGTAGCGTTCCCATCAGTTGATCAAAAGGTTTAAATGGCTCTCCGATGAAAAAGGTTATCTCCAAATCAGCCAAGTTTTCAAGGTCAGAGGCAAAAGGTGAATAATGATAAGGATAATACCTGAACCAAAAAAGCAAGTTTCAATAGAAACATTGACAACGTGAGTACTACCCATTGCCATACACCAAAATACACGGATACCAAACAACTAATTTGCCTTCGTTCTTAATTCAATGGTGGTTTTCAATCAAAACTCAAAAACAAATCCGTAGCCAAGATATTGCATGCATATCCTCGGAAAATTAATGGAAAACTTGAAAACCAAAGAAAATATGGTACTCCGAAGAATACACACATTTGTCACAATAAGGAAATGAATTTTACCATTGCCAAGAGCAAACCCCTGAATAGTAATATCGACAGACCCAACATAAACCCTCCACATACTTCAAGACCTGCACAAAATATGAGCACATCAACTACTTCTGTTCATCAAAACTACTCAAGGGGGGTATTTATTTCAAGTAATTATTAGTGCTATTTGATAATATTAAAAAAAAAAATCTGCATCCAATTTAAATAATATTTGCCTATTGTTGATGGATTAAAAGCAATGCTAGCTCTCAATCTATTAAGCTACCAAAATTAGAAATATCTAAAATATTCCACGTAAGGACTCCAAAAAGGTTCAAGCCCATCACCTTTAGGACCTTGGTTGAATCTAAAAGCTTTCACCACTAATGTACAACACTTGGGATAAACGGTACAGTGCTGGAAAAACAAATCAAAGGCTAGCGCTAAATTAATATTATCTACATATTAAACATTATTCTGGGAGGATGTATGGTTGGAGACTACTCAATAATATTCTTTCCCTGCCCTAAATAGGTAGGGGAATAGCAAGAATTCAAAGATGTTTGGAGTATAAATTTTGGAGAGGACGAGACCCACTAAGAATTACATCCTCCAGTAAATAGACAAATAATAATAATTATTATTATTATTATTACTACTATTATTATATTAATGACGCAAGCACAAGGAATGGACTTACCACATCTTGTTTTATTTCAGCAATGTTTTCTGAGTTAGCATTGAACTTCTCAGCATAATACCTCTCCTTGTATCCAGGCTCCCCTAACTTGATCTGGAAAAAGGGAAATGGAAAAGAATACAAGACCCATATTTAGACGTCTATCAAAACATATGCATTTCAAACACCCCATCACCATGAAATTACATATAAGCCTTCCAATTCAAAAAAATCTAAAAAGGAGGAATTTGTTGATCCTTTCAATTCATGGGACCATAAAAATGCCTCACGCATACACACAAACGCACAGAATTCCTATCCAATTGATATGACTACTCTGTAATATTTTATACATCTAGGCAACTAAAACCAATAATTAAGAAGAAGCAAAGCATACTCTTCCTAGATTTTACGGTGCTCTGCTTGTTCTAAACTGATGAAGCCTATGCTAGCTTCATCCAAATTCTGGACCAACTTCTTTCTGGATTTAATGATAAGAAAAACTTATCTATCACTTGGCTTGTAAAAATAAAATTTCTCAAAATACTCCAGTAAATAGCATAGCTTACATCTTATAAACAATTTACACATTAGTTCTTTTACGATAACATAGACATAATGCATAAGTGGGACCAAATAGATCCCTGGTACCTGTTATCCCAGTGAATTTTCCTACCAGTCAATCCTACTCATATTTTATAAAGTTGGATTATTCCTACCACGTGTCCATCCATCTATGAAAGATTCTTAAACCAAGTCTTCAACAAAATCACGGTGGGAATGAAAAACTAATATGCATAAGAGTATGGGTGGAGCCAAGAAGGAAGAAGTGAGGCAGTTGCACTTGCACCCCATAAGAGACCAGCCTAAATGTTAAGACAAAAGACTCCAGAGCTCATTGTATAATAGCTAATGGTAAGACTTCAATTACTAATGTGAAGGCAAAAGACTTCAGGGCTCATTTTCTCATTAAAAAAAATGGTAAGACTTAAATTAGTTTCAGTTTAGGGGGTAAAACATTATTTCTCATCAATGAAAAAGAATCTTCAAGTTTTACAATTGAGGGTCCAAGGACAATTAAGAAGTTTTAATACCACAATTTGGGTTTATGTCTAAATGCTTCGTCATGTTTTTTTTTTTTTTTTTTTTTTTGTCCCTTCATCCTTCCACTGTGCTGTCCCTTCATGGTTTTTTATGGTTTTAATGGTGAAAATGAAAGCTCTGAACTAGTATAATGTCTTTGCTTCACTAGGCTTGCCTTCACTATTAAATTATGTTTTTGTAAATTAGTGATATGTGTACCTTCCTTGATTATCTATTGAGTGTTAAGAAACATATGAAGTAGGTTTGTATTTGAACATGCTGTGATGTCTTTCTGCTGAATGGATCTCCATGTAGCTGGAATGTGATACACAGCTGGTTCTATTCTGATGGATGCAAATTTTACTCGTGCCTTTTGGTACATGTGAATAATGTCTTCTATGTATATTTCAAGTTCTGTTCTTACCTTATTTTTTCTTTGTTTTAGGAACTTAAGATGGAGGCATCCAGTTTCAGGGATGAATTATGGATGGGGATTCGTGACCTCAGTCGGAAAACAGATTTGCTGGTTCTTGTTCATAATCTGTCGCATAAAGTACCTATATGCGTGCAATNTAGTTGTAATCTTAGGTTGCTCGTGGATTAATAATCTGAAGGCTAAGGACAGCATATTTGCTCTTCTTTGAAGGTATGGTTTCAGAAGGAAATCAAAATTCATTTCGGTCAACCTTCGTAAAAATTCCATCTCTGGAATTTGGGCTGAAAGAATAAAAGGATCTTTGACAACTATGTGCTCCTTGGGACGAAAGCTTTGAGATGATCAAAGTTCATGCGCCTTCTTGGTGTTCTACCAAAACTTTTTTGACTTAATTCTATCACTGGGATTAACTCTAATTTGCTGCCAATGCAAAATACATTCAAAATTTTGAAAAGAAAAATTATATAGACAATAGGCATATACAATACAAATAACATTCAGACCAAAAGAACAACCCCTTTCCTGCCCGCCACCTCTTACTAAAAACACATGCACAACTTATAGGCAAAATCTTATTTCAAGTGTGAACATGAGGCAAGAAGAAAGATCCAGAGAGGAATAAGGACATATATTTGCCAGATATCTTGCATCAAATAATTGTAAACTCAAGCACTTCAATCAAGACTAACAGGCTAGTAATAATCATATAACCATTAAACCATTAAAAAATGAATAAGTATATGAATACATACAAAACCATTAAGAAATAAACGTGCTAACTAAGACCTTGTCAATTGTTGGAACTGGGGGCGCAGGACCATTCTCTCTTCTAGCTCTACCTCTCATTTCTTCATTATTCTCTTGTGCCTGCTGATCAGCATATTGTATCAGATACTTTTCATCCATGGATGCCAATATATTGATTTGAAAGATATAAATAGCTAGAGACTAAAGATTAGAGTATGGAAAGATATACACACGTGGTAGATAAAGACGTGACATTAATACCTTAAGATACAGATCTTCAAAAGGATACAAAAGATGCAATGTAAGATGTTTCAAAAACAATTATCTTTTTTATGTGAAGCTAATGAAATGCACACCTAAGATCTCATCTGTATTTGCATTGGCGGGCAAGTTTAATAAACATAAGGATGCTGGTCCGGTTGATTACAAAAGTGTTCTTCAAGTAGAAAAAATAAATAACGGTGATGAAGAAGAAGAAAAGATAGCAACAAATTTTTTTACTATTGAAAGCCCAAAGAGAAGTATCAAAATACATTCAACCGAAAGTGTAACAAGATTCAAATGAATCTCTGCTATTAGCAACAAATTCAAATGCATTATTGGCTATTCAAGTTTTTTACTAATCACAAATAAATTAATTAATTATAATCTTTATACTTCAAGAGTCTTTTACTAAATAATAAAATTATTTAGGCATAAGAAATCTTGTAAAACCTCGAGAAATAGTATAGGTTTTCTTTAAAGCTACTAGAATCTAGCAAAACATGTTCATGTCCTTAAAGCATGCCTTCAGGATATGAGAATCTTTGAAAGAACCTAGGAGGACAATCTATTGAATTCAAACGATACTCTAACTTCAAAGAATCAAGTGTGAGGTAATCAAAAAGGTCATCCAAGTACAAGATATTAGCATCAAAACAAATGCATCATACACCAGATGGCTGTGCAGTTAGTAAACCAAGGGGTGACTTTGTAAGTCACGTTAGGCTAATATATATGTTTCTTATCTCCATCCTTTTTGTATCTTCCTCTCAAATTTTCAATGACCAAATGAAATTTTGTTCCATACGTATTCCATAAGGTAGACTCTATTATTGTCATGTTTCCCTTTAAAATTTCTACTGCCTTCCTTCCAAACTCCAACAGATCTCTACCTCCAGACCACTCAATCCAGAAGTGCTCAATGTTTGATGGAAAACTTGAGAAGACATTATAACTATAAATATAAGCAAGCCTCATGCAAATTATTGAGCCACAAGTTTAAAGGAAACGAACTTAATGTTTACTAGATTTTCTGTAGCAACCCATGCCCGGGATTCGGAATCCGGATTTTGGCACCTAATGGCCCCGGCATTCCTTTGCAACCCTACGACATGGCCACATTACCTACTCCTCACTTCTTAAGAATGAAGACTATCCTCACAAACCAATACGAGTCCTTCCAGCATGCTTCGTCATCACTCACATGCATCCCAAAAATATTTCTAGAAGGTCACCCAACATAGAATTGCTCCAAGTAAAACAATGGTTAAAACATGTTTAACCATGGAGTTCTTATGATTGAGCCATAAAAAGAAAAGTACACCTTGTTGGTAATAGGTGGTTTGCAATTATTTTAAGCCTTTCTTAGCTAAGTTATCCTACCCTCAGGATACCTCTCATTTTGATGTAGCCTCCGTTCATTCATGTACCCCTCCTTTACTCGAGTGTCACATTTTTTAGTTTTCATATTAATGAACAACAAATTTAAAGGAAACAAACTTGTTGTTTACTACATATTTTATAGGTTTCAGTCTTCATCGGGATAGGTCGAGGATGTGTCAGAACTGAGCACTAACTAAACTAAGCAAAACAAATAGTAGATAAGATTCAAAATGCTCTGAACGATAACAGGCAGAACAAGAGATAGCACAAGACCTGCTGAATTCGGGCTCTTTTTTGAAAGATTTGTTCTTCGTGTACAGATACAGCTTGGATAAAATGCTCCACTTTATCTAACATAACCTAAGAAGTTCACAGAAAAAAAAAAAAGATGTTCAGATTAGAGCTTGATTATTATACACACGCGCACACAAAATATTTCACAAGAGAGAAGAAAAGTGAGAAAGTAACAGGAAAGAGTTCCACGATGCATAACCCTTAACAATCAATTGAAAGAACTCCATGATGCGTGGAATATCCTAGCTGCCCCACTTCAAAGAATAAAGAGCAAGCAAAATGAAATTCTCCTATACCTAAGATTATTTTCTTTTTAACAATAGATATATAGCATACCATAAATCCAAAAAAAAGGAGGAATACACAGATTTGACAAGGAGATAGGAATCATATCCCAAAGCCTCAAAAAGGGGACTCTATACATGTAAGAAAATGTAGAAGTGTTATAAAACAACACTCTTATTGATCATTATATAAACAATATGATGAGGAGATGGTAGATTATTTCAACCCAGCACAATGGCACTTTACAGAATTAACTAATTGAGAGAGAAATAAAATAGCTACTTTTCAATTCCAATGAGCAGCATATAAGATTTGAACTTTAGCTCTGAAAATACACAAGGTTGACACATTAAAGCAAGAGAAAAGGTTATTAAGAAGTAGAAAAAATGGTAGACATACGTTAGAAACAAGCAATAAGTTCAGATGAAATCCTACTTCCAAAGGAAAAATATGTCAGCAACGGTGATCAAGTTTGCAAGAAATAAGAATAGACCATTACCTCACCCGCGTCAGTAAGATAACCACCCATAGCAGGAAACTCCTTTCTATATATGTGCATCAGCAAATTAATAGCACCCTGAACCAGAAAAGTAAGTCATGATACAATTGTTAAAGATAAAAATTATGGAAAAGAGGCAGTATATATGACTTTACAGCCCTCAAAGCACTGAACTTGGGTATTTAGCCATTTAGGAAACAAAGAAATAACAGTGTGCTCCTTGTAAACAGCTAGATCCCCTTACCTCTCTTATCTCCAAGGTTGGCATATGTGGAAGAAAATCGTTGCCAACAAAGAAACACAAAAACACAAAATCATCCACTATCCGCTCGAAATCAACCTCAAAAGGTGGATTGGGAATGTCCAATTCATACTGCAAGTATTCTCGTAAAACCCAAATGTTGAGAAACTGCATAGGGAGTACATCATGTCAGATACAGCAAGACATACTAAATAAGATACATTGAACCTTTGAAATCAAGATAACATATTCTCCAACCTGATATTTCTTTTTATGAATTGGAGTTTCATCGGCTGCATTCCAATCTTCTGGACCATCAGACTTTCCACGACACTCAGCTGCAAAATGACCAACTTTGCCACAATTGAAACATTTTTCCTGTTGCCCTGGTAGCATTATTACCTGCACGACTAATGTGTGTATTCAGTAATCGATCAATTTGAAGCAGGAAATCAGCTAGAAGTTAGAAATACATAACCACTCATAAGACAGTCAACTGACCTCTCTTAAAATTGAAAAGTGAATCTCGTGTGTTGCTAGACTAAGCATAATCAGATCTGCATCCTGAAATTAATACACAAAAACAGGAATAATGTAATAACTCTTTCTGCGCACACAGCCAAGAAGCATTAAAGAAAAGGAAAATATGAAAAGCTAAGATAGAAGTCACTCACCAGACCGTACAGACAATGTCGAGTGTTTGGATCAAAACCAGGCAAATTGCGTTGTAGCCGAATGTATGACATAATTTTGTGCTCTCCCTCGCCAGGAACATTTGAATCAGATAGAATAACCTTCAAATAATCATCGAATGCATCCCCATAAATAAACATAGAGAGAGAAAGTATCCTGAAAGCCAGAGGTATAAAAGGTGGAAGATACAGAAAGGATTACTCCACCAATAAGGAATTATCCAATCTTTAAGCCAATTGAAGATGAAAGAATGAGAAGAACAAAAATGTTCCAATCATACCTTCGTAAACCTCCACCCTGGGTTGTGATTTAATCTTGAATGCGCATAATACTGAAGTGCTACGGAGAGCACTGCCATAAATTGAGTTCCGGGAGTGATGACATTAGAGTCACATGTTTCGGGCTTCTCCATAGGTAATAAGCTTTGCCCATCAGCTTCAAACGCTTTTCTTAATCTTTCTTCTTCAGCTTCCTAACACGTGCAGAGCAAAAAGTCATTAAGATTCCTTCAGTGCTCATAAACATACATGATGATAGATGGCATATAAGCAGTCTCACAGCCTCGGCAGCATCTTTTGCAGCTCTGAAACGCCGAGAACGTTGCTGATTCATTTTAGCTCTAGGTGCAACACCATCTGCCAAATTCTAAGATTATTAAAATAGACCTTGCATATAGAGAACAGAAATGCTCCAAGAACCTAAAATATTTCATACCAATTGCCATGTAAAGAACCTTTCTTGGCCGAACCAATGAGAAGAGATGGTCAATGTAATCGAAAATGGATTTAAATACATCGTCATATGTAGCTGGTGGAGGCTGAACATGTAAATCAAGCACAAATCATCAGCAACAAATTTCAACAAAACCACGTCTATTCACAATTCTTTTTGCCTTATAATGTTTGAATTCGGAAAGTAAAATTTCATTTCGAGAAAAAAAAAACCATGCGTTGTTCTCATGCCTCAAAAACCATCAGAGTATAATTTAAGCAGCATTTTGATCTGCACTGGTAACTTTTCATTTCTAAATCAAATTTACTTCGCTTTGTGGAAAAAAAACCGACGATATCTGATATCCAGACTTCGCATTAGACAAATTCCCACACCAGAGACCACAAGCTAGAATTTAAGACAGAGAATTATCCTTCTCAACATATAAATTTCGCAAAACCCTCCAAACACTGATATTCTGCCAACACACATATACATCAAAGAAACTCAAGCTTGGCCACATAATGCAACTATAATGCTCATTTCCCCTCGCAAACCATTACAATCTCAAAACTGAAGCCAATGTAAAGGAGGTCAAGAACTGAATACCTTGCCTTCAGGATGAAAGCACGGATGAATTATGCCATTCATATCCAAATACAAGTTGTCAAACTCCATTCCATTAGGGTTAGGCTTGGAGACGTCGATCGGCAAGACGACCCCGTTGGGGCCATCAACTGGCTCTTCCTCGACCACATCGGCGATCGACCGGGGGTACCGGTCGGCAAGCCACCGGTAAAAGGCAGGGACACCCATGGCCGCTGGAGCTCCGGCGAGTCAGTTCAGAGAAGAGGGAATTTCAAGATCTGTAAAAAGCTTCTATTGCAGACAAGTTAAGGTACGGATGCTTCGGCAAACAAAGAGACGATGGGGAAATTGGATGTGTTTGGAAACGAAGATTGTGTATCCTTATCGTTGACAACTATTTCCTTGCACCATTTTTCATTTGTTTGCAATTTTTACCTTACCTTTCTTATTTCATTCGATTAATTGTTGTAATTTTTTACCAAATAATTTTAAGATAATTTTTTTTTTTTACTATTAGTGAATTCAACGAAAATTGAATATGAAATAAAGTTTCTCTAAAAATGAATATATTTGGTAAGATTTTTAATAATTCAGCAGATTTTGTCGGTTTTTTCTCCATATCGTCATCATCATCACAATTTTAAAACGTATCTGATAAGGAGAGGTTTCTACACCCTTTATAGAGAATGTTTTGTTCTCCTCTTCAACCGATGTATGATCTCACAATCCACCCCCTTTGAAGCCGAGTGTCTTTATTGGCACACCGTGTCTTGCTCTAATATCATTTGTAATCGTACAAGTCTAGCGCTAACAGATATTGTCCACTTTTGCTCGTTACATATCGTCATTAACCTCACAGTTCTAAAACGTGTTTAATGGAATAAGTTTTTCACATTCTTATAAAGACTGCTTCATTCCCCTCTTCAAATCAATGTGAGCTCTCACACTATAATTCAACAATTTCGTAGTCGGGTCAAAGGTTTGAAGCCACCCCTTTAACTAAATATTTAAAAAATTTGTTAAATGGAAGCTAAACTTTTAATTATGTCGTTATTACCCGGTAATTTTTTTTTTCCTTTTAACTTTTTTTCAATTGTCGGACCAAATAAAAATTTATCATAAAAAAAATAATAGAAAAAAAAGTTATTAATAAAACTTTTGAAAGTTTAGAAAATATTTTTGTATATAATTTAGTCAATACTATTTCATCATCTTCTTAGTATGTTGAGGCATAGATGAGTCTCGGTTTCATTTCTTGAGTCGGTGCAGGTGTCCAAGACAAAGGGGAGAGCTCGTAGTTGTTGAAAAAAATGAGTTTTAGTTTTATATCTAAGTACTTCCTAAATATATACGCGTGTTACAAGCGGGACGGAAACGAAAATATTAACTGGAAAAAATAAATAAATAGACACTAATATTTAGCATTAAAAAAAAAATTCAAAATGCGATATCTTACATGGACTAAGACGGAAACGAAACATTACTTATAAAGGCATAGAAACCTCTTACATAAACACGTTTTTAAACTATGAGGATGACGACAATATGTAATAGATAAAAGTAGACAATATCTGTTAACAATGAGCTTGGACAGTTACACAAATAACTTGAACCCAATATTTTTTTATTGCACGGTTACACAAATAACCCGAACCCAATTTTTTTTATTGGGTTTGATTGATTTCATTAAAAAAAGTGGGGGAAAAAAATTACAATCTACATAGTTGAATCGAGTAAAAAAAAAAAGCATCTCAACCTACTTAATCCAACTCGGGAACGATAGAGTAAAAAAAATATTTGAACCTATCCAATCGAACGGGTGAACACTCCCGACAAAAAAAAAAAAAAAAAAAAAAAAAAAAAAAAAAAAAAAAAAAAAAAAAAAAAAAAAAAAAAAAAAAAAAAAAAAAAAAAAAAAAAAAA